TCTGACATCCATTTTGGTCTTTTCTTCCTTTCCTGTCTTTTTAATGACCTTCTTGCTTTCTGCATGGATGATGTTCTTGATGTCATCCCACAATTCCTCTGATTCTCAGTCATTGGTGTTCAGTCCATCAAATCTATTCTTTAGATGGTTTCTAAATTCAGGAGGGATATAATCAAGGTCATATTTTGGCTCTCATGGACTTGTCTTCAGCTTCAACTTGAACTTGCATATGAGCAATTGATGGTCTGTTCCACAGTCAGCCCCTGGCCTTGTTTTGGCTGAAGATACTGAATAGGAATAAAATTTTCTCATTACAAATTTTCCTTACCTCATACTGCACTCCAAACCAAGTCTGATAACCTGATTCCCTTTGCCACATCCAGACTTTTGCAACTCAGAACTGAAAAATCAACCAAAATAATAATGTAGAATCTGCAAAACACTGCATAACATGGATGAATTTGGTGGACATTATGCTGAATGATATCAATCAATCATAGGACAAATACTGTGTTAGTCCACTATTGTAAAAAGTAAAGGAAAGATTTATATATGGAAGGAAACTTTGTTGGTTACCAAGGATGAGGAGGAGGAGAGGCAACACTGCTACATAGGGAGAGACAAGCATTGATTTGGGTGAAAGGAAAGGCAATGTATTAAAAGTGAGTGATCAACATGGTGGCACTGAAAAGGAGGAAGACAGAGATATGTATACAAAAGGTACAGACAACAAAGGTAAACCCTTTTACATATACAATACTGTGGTATCAGTGATGGCAAACATCAATCTATGGGTAAATAGATGGGTAGACAAGGTGAATGATCAGGTGTATCTAGACAAAAGGGAATAAACTCATGACCATATATAAGGTTGGCAGATGATATTTCTACATACGTATTTGTATGCACTATACGAATGTCCAAATATATAATAGAGCTAACAAAGGGCAAAGTTATAACAACATCTTGGGCACAGACAACCACCCTGAGGGAGTGAGTAGTTGCACCAGTGAGCTTGGGATCATAGTCACAGGGGACATCAAGCTCAACTGGCTTAACATACTACATCCTACTTTGGTGAGCAGCAACTGGGGTCTTAAAAGCTTACAAGCGGCCATCTACATGCAACAATGGGTTTCTCCTCATCCAGAGCAAAGAATGAAGAAAACCAAAGACACATGGAAATGATTAGTCCAAGGGACTAGTAGACCATGAGATCCTCAGCCTATATGACCATGAGACCAGAAGAACTAGATGGTGCCCAGCTACCACTGTCAGCCACTTGGAAAAGGATCCATGCAGGAGACCATGGACAGAGTGGGAGAACAATGTGTAACAAAACTCAAAATCATAAAAAAGACCAGGTTTACTGGTCTGACAAAGACTGGTAAGACCCAAGACTCTGGCCTCTAGTTACCCTTCAGATCTGGAACTGAACTCACTCCTATGGCTTCCAGCCAAACAACAGACAAGCATATAGGGTGAACATTTACATCAGGTAGATAGGTACACTCCTTAAAATGATCAATCTTGGGAGAACAAAAGTGCAGTGTTCGTCCAGAGAGACAGCTCGAGGGACAGGAATGCATAAGAAAGTAGGACACAGGGAAGAGGTAACTATAGGGAGGAAGTAGGAAGAGAACTGTTACATCATGGGGAATTGCAGTTAATTTCATGAAACAAGATGTGTTTGAATTGCTGTATGGAAAATGCATTTGCTTGGTAAACTTTCACCTAAATCACAATAAAAATTTAAAAAAAAAACCTGACTTCTGAGTAACCCAAGAATTCTGATACTGAGAATTCACAGAGAAGAAATGTAAATTAGTGCATGATTTGACCTGATAGTGAACAATAAAATGATGATGATGTAAATGTTATTGATTTTCAAATTTTAGATCAACCAAAGACCAAATATATACGATGGGTTATGGTTACAGACATAATATAATTATTAGCAACCTTGAAAATATATACTAATAGAACAAAGGACATTAGCCATGGTAGTAGAAATATGGGGGAGGGGTACTAAGTATATTAAATTTAAATGTATTAAAATTACAAAGATTATAAAATAAAACTGAAATCTGGATAAATATCAAACATAAAAAGAAAATGGGGGTGTGAATAGTGTAAGAGTGCTAAATCTCAATTTCTCATCTGAAGGAATTAAGAGACAAATGGATGAATTTAATGAATCAAACTGTTAAGAAAAAAAGGTATCTTCTAAAATTCAAGTGTGGTAGTTATGGTTATGTGCCAACTTGGCTGGGTCTGGCTGAGTGGCTGGGCATCTGGATGTAATTATTCCCCATGGTGAGATTGGTATCAGTTCCATGGTGGAATCTACTGGAGCAGCTAAGTAGCTGCTTTAGGGATGTGGTCTGCTTCCAACATATAAGAAGCGTTGAGAAAGGTCAGTAGGTTTTTGGCACGATTGAATATTGCATGTAGCCAAGCCGTTGTTCAGCAGTCTGCCATGACTGCCTGCCAATCTTGGGACTATCTCTGGACTTGAATTAGTGGCCTGCCCTGTTATTTGGTAATACTGGGACAGTGCCATTTTTATTTGTCAACCTTGGGTTCATCAGCCTCAGCACCCAGCAGCTGCCCGAGTGAAGAGATCCTCTAACTCCAATGGGGGCTAGGAGCCAGAGGCAGAGCTGAAGCCCAAGGTCAGGAGCTTTCACCCAGCCCCTAGAGCCTGGCACTTTGAACTCGGACTTCTAGCCTCCAAAACTGTGAGAATACATGCCTGTTTATTAAAGTCTCCCATTTGTGGTATTTTCTGTTAGAGCACCACAAAGTAACCAAACATCTAGTAACACAAGAATTAAATAAGGAAAAACAGTTAAAAGTAAATAATATTAAAATTACAAAGATTACAAAATACAACTTAAATTTGGATAAATATCAAACATGGAAAGAAAACAGGGGTGAGAATAGTGTAAGTGTGCTAAATCCTAATTTTTCATCTGAAGGAATTAATAGACAAACTGATGAATTTAATGAATCAAGTTGATAAATCAAGAAATAAAGGTCTATCTTCTAAAATTCTAGATGAGAATTAAATAAGGAAAAACAGTTAAAACTGAAACTATTTGGTAAACATAGTTAGGAATAAGGAGACCAACCAAAACTAAACCCACTGCCATCAAGTCAATTCTGACACATGGCAACCCTATAGGACAAAGTTGAACTGTCCCATAGGATTTCCAAGGCTGTAAATCTTGACGGAGGCAAACTGCCTCCTCTTTCTCCCAGAAAGCAGATGGTGGTGGGTTTGAACCATCAACCTTTGGTTAGCAGTACTTTAGGGCAAAAGGAGAAGGTGGGGGAATGAACTATTTATCCTAAGCTACTCTCTATTATTTAATTTGTTCCCATTTAATAAAAATGTATTTTAAAGCTAAAAATGTTCATCATTGCAGAAACCCAGTCTATTTGAAGCCATTCAGCCTACATCGGTTCTTCCTGTCTTCTTCACTGCACTGTCACACTGCTCTCCCTGCCTCTGCTGAGTGTGCTTCCTCAGTTTATTACCACTCTCTCGGTTTCATTTTGCCTTCTCCTCTGTCTTTCCCTTCTTTCTATCTGAGTTCTGACAGGTCTGCCCTATCCTAGGGCAAACAAAAAAAAATTTCACTTGGTCGGAATGTTCTGAATCATTTCTACCCAATTTCTCTTTTTCCTTTCACTTTCCAACTTTAAAACGTTGTCTTATTTCCCCTGAACTCTGTCATTTAAATACCAACTGTAACAATATTGGCACCATTCTTGTTCTACTTAATATTTTTCCAAACATTTCACATAGATCCTTTTTTTTTTTTCAATTTTTTTTCTGCAGTAAGGGTGAAATTGGGGAGGGGGTGGAAATATCTCATACGACAGAGTTCCAAAGACATCTGGAAAAATGCTAGCGTGAAATGTTCCAATTACAAATGCATCACTGGTTTGTTCAAGAATAGTTCATCTTCTGCCTTTTGGCAGTGAAAAAAAAATAATCCAAGTAAACAACAAAAATATCCAAGTTCATCATCATAAGTGCTGTGACATTTATTAGGTGTATTTAATTTCCTTCTTCTTTCATAATCATATTAATGTCAAGACCAATAAAAGAATAAAGACCTGATTTATGAAAAATTACTTTAAAGATACTAAGTCTAAAGCTCAAAATGATGACACATTGCCTCAGTACAATTATCCTGTAGTTAATCTTAACGTTCTACAGAATGAGTCATTATCTTACAAATGAACAGAAGAACGTGGAAGAAATAAAACTACAGACAGAACCAGTAACTGAACTAAGATCCAAATTCTGGAATTCACCACTAGAGAATATCTTGTTTTTCTTTAAAATATAATTTTTATTTATAAAAGTGTATTAATTTGTTGCTTTGGGTCTTATATGTCTATCTGTAAGAAAGAAGGCATATTTTTGGTAAAATAATGGTCAGAAAAACACATATAAAACATTAGTTTTGAGCCTCAAGATACTGATAGAAGGAAAAAGAACTAATTAATGAAGCCACATTTATGAAAAAACTAGATGATTTTATTATTATTATAAATGCCAAACAAGTCTTTAAACCAGTTAAAATTTAATTAAGCATAAAGTTATTTTCACATTTGTCTGTAACTATAGTAAATACAGTTCTTGGCATAAAGACACAGCCTCTGGAATTTAAAATATCCCCAACTGCAAGATTTTATATATATATCTATACATATAGATATATATAATCCATTATTGTTTATGTGATAGCAGATGAATCAAATTAAAATAATTATACCATCTAGAATAAAATAAAATAGAAATAATTTACTCATAAGATTCATATTTAAATCATCTTTATTTATAAAATACTATCCTGAGAATTATAATTATAATTCCATTAAGCTCCAATTTGAGCAAAAGAATCACTTAAGTAATAGCAGTTACTTAACTGCAAAGAAGAGAGAAGTCAAAAATTACTTTTAAAGAGAGACGATAGATATTATCAAGTTTCTTGTGGTGGGTCTTGATGTTCAGTAGTAAGCTCATTTGAAGTCTGAATCAAACCTGAAGGGAATTCACTTCTATTTTCAGGGTTTGGAGGTGGAGGGTAAAATCCAGGTCTTGGGGGAAGATATTGAGGAAAACCTCTCCGTGCATACATATTTCTCACTGTTCAAAGACATTGGTAAAAGACATTTTTTTAAAACTTTAAACACCTGTACTGCAGTACTAATAAATCATTAGCTTACAACTTCTAATATGTATCTTTATACTCAAAAACTGACACTATAATAATTACTTTAAATAAAAAATAAATTTTTACAATATTGAGTAAAACGAACTCAATCCAAGTATACATTTTAGAGAGAGTATCAGTTTTAGACACAATTTTTGTCCTATGGAAATCTAACATCTTAACATTTTAAAGTAAAAGGGTGATTATTTCAAAACAGATAAAACTCACTTTACAAAAACTTTTTCACTTAATAAAATTTTCACCAGATTTAAAATTCAGACCAGTGATTCCCAATTCAAACTTTATATTATCCTAAAATATTTTCAGTTATATCAAAGACAATTTTTTCAATTCTCCAAACAAAATTTATTCTAAGTCACCTTAAATTTCTGAAACAGAAGAGGAATAAGGGAAGGAATGACTAAATCTCGTTATTCTTCAGAAACCTATCATTCTAAATAGCAATGTATAGGTATAAAAGAAATAAATTATTCCCTTCTTATGTGAGGTTCTGAAGAATTTCAATATATTCAGCAAACAAGCCAAACATGACACATTTTAGGTTTGAAGTAAGTAGAACCACATCAGAAGTACTTATATAAAAAAACTTTAGCCAGTAATTTTAATGCTAAAACATAAATTGTAATTATTTTTGTCAACTGCCTATCAAATAAGATACAAATAATTTTAGTCTTAACATAAGGCTGCTTCAAAAATCCAAAGATTTTTCTTGACTATTAAAATATACAAATAATTCCCTATTAGTAAGATGAATCAAGTTGAAGTCTGATCCTTCCCATTTGAAAAAGTAATGACACACGCACAGAACATGTAAAACTTTTTCCTCTACGTATTACCAGGTGAAGATAGAGCAAAATTAATATCCTTGACTTACTCTTAAACATATAGTAAGTTTCTTTAAAAAAAAAAAAAAAGAAAAGAACAAAAGGCATACTTGCTAATGGTGCATGTAGTGGGCCAGGGAAATCCCTTGGTGGGAAATAATCCCGAGGAGGTCCGTACATGCCTGCTGGAGGAGGTGGAGGGAAAGGAGGTCCCCTCCTCAGGAAAGGCCCCCTGGCATCCACTGGAAACAACGGACCTCTAACTGGAGGGTGAGGTGGAGGGGCAAATCCGGGTCCACCAGGTGCTTCATTTTCAGCAGGTAGAGATGAATCAGGCATGTTTAAATTCTATGGCAAGTTAACATATGGCAGTCACTAAAATCTGCAGAAGTTTTTCTAAAAACCTTAGATTTAGAAGATACCTCAGAATTTAGCCAGAAAACGGTCTAGGATTTATCTTAAAAGAATGCAGAGAAATATTCAGTTTTCCATAGTAAGTATCAGATGGGTTTTAGCTATCAAAAATATTGCATTAACCCAACAGAAAACAGTTTTCACCACCAAAGTAATATTCTGTCTAAAGATAAAACACATACATATCCAAGGGTACCAAAATACACTATTTTATCAAACATACACAGAAAACAAAATATAACATGCCTATGCTTGTATTTTTAAGGTGACGAAAATCAAGAATGCAAAATAATAAACAAATATACTTGAAAACATCAAATAAAAATCCTAGGAAAAAATACCCTAACCTACAAATTGCACTTTATCACCATAGATTAGAACCCAGAAAAGTACTAACAAGAATGCTAAGGAGAAAGTACGATTGTCAAAAAGAGAGAAGCACTTTTATATCAACAACTAGATCATTAGATAAATATCTATTCTAGTAAACCAAGAGATTAGAAGGCTCCTCAATATATGGATAAAATTCTACTTTCAATACTTACACCAAAATCATCTTTGGGATCATTTTTACTGGATTCCATTTCTGAAGATATTGGCCCATCTAGACATAGAGTTAAAATATAATTAATCACTTCATTCTTGGAAAATCTACAAGTCACAAAGGACAATGATATTTCCCACTTCCCTTGTCTGCACATAAACCAGCTTGACCAGCATCCTGTATCAGAGGCACAAGAACAGCTTGAGGTCCTTAGAATTTTGGGAGACTAGGTGTTCTGCAAAGGCATCCTGGCAGCTGACTTCCCCAGCTAGTTCCGAGGCAATTCTGCTGAAGCAGCGTCATAAAGACATCTCTGACAGGGAAGTGGCATCCCTCGCCCTCTTTCTTTTCTTCCTACTTCTTTCCTTATTTCTCTATTGGATAACAAAGACTAGCAATCTGAATTTGGCTACTGTTTCTAAATAAATGTTCCTGGACTTTATCATCTAGAATCGCTCGATCTCTGAGAACATGAATTCAAACATTCCTCTCTCTGACCACAGGCACCTATCCTCTCCTAGCATTTTCACTTACTTACTCCACTACACTTGTCTTTGGACCACAATGAGGCCTCCAGTCCTCTGACCTCTCAGTAGTAGTGAAAATTTCTTCACTCCTTTCCTCACTGACTTCCCTAAATTAACTAGACTTCAAAGTTCATCACTTCTGCCAATCATTAATATCCTTGCCCTAATGGCCACTTTTCACTGATGTTTGACAACAACTCAACCCTAGATTAATCCAACTCTCTCCTTCCATTTTGTCTGTACTTGAGCTGCTGAGCTCTGCTGGGTAAGAACAGCACAGAGCCATGGGGGCTGGCACCACTACAAGCTGACCGTTCTCCAGGAGCACTTTCAGCTATACACTGCCTGCCTGGCCTCCCTCCGTGTCTGAGCCAGCTTGCCTCTCAGCAATTTCAAACTTTATCCATTCTCCTCAAACTTACTACACTAGCCACTCAGATGCTCCCTTAACTTTTTGTGACCAAACATACAACCATACCTGGAACTATATCCCTCTAACCTTTCCTCTTCCTCCTATTATGGCAAAGACTCTTACTAGCCAATCTATGACTCTGGTCTTGCGCTTAGAACCCCTCCCCCAGTCTCCTGGGGGACCTTCCTCTTTCTCTGTTGTTTTCCTCTTCCTTTCTGCTAGATCCATTTTAGCAATTCTCTCCCAATACCTTTTTACAAATGAGGAAGAAAAAGAGAATTCCCCCTCCAGCTATCTCTCCTTTAAAAATCAGATTGTTCTATATACATTGTTCAGAATTCCTCCCACTTTGGTGGCATAGTGCCAAAGGCATTTGACTGCTAACCAGAAGGCTGGTGGTCCAAAACCACCAGCCACTCCAAGGAAGGAAGACTGGGCAGATCTACTTCCATAGTGATACTGCCTCAAAAACCCAAGGAGGGGTCGCTATGAGTTGGAATTGACTCGCCAGCAGTGCATTTGGTTTTCTTGTTTGTTTAGGTCCTTACTTTACTGCAATCTATTTGCAACATCCACTACCTCCAGTGGAATTATTTTCCCCAAGATCACAAATATTCTTTTTTGTTAAATTAACAGACACTTTTAGTCATTGTTTTTTTAGTTGAGTCCCTGAGTGGCACATAGGTTAAGCGTTCAACTATTAGATGAAAGGTTGGTGGTTCAAACCTGCCTAGAGAAGCCTTGGAAGAAAGTCCTGGTAATTTGCTTCCAAAAAGTCACAGCTATGAAAACCCTGTAAAGCACAGTTCTACTCTGTACACCCATGAGGTCGTGATGAGTTGGGTTGGACTCAATGGCAATGAACAACAGTCCTCATTTTACATTTCTTCCTACCACTTGAAATGCTCTCAGCCTTCCATTTTTAACTTCTCTCTATTCCTCCTACTTTTCTAGATGCTCCTGCTCAGTCTCTTTGGTGGGCTCCACTTCCCCTAACCACCTTTCAATGGTGATGCCCTGAGTTCCACTCTTGGCCCCATTCTCTTCTCATTCTCTCCTTGAGACATCCCATCTACTCCTCCAGCTTTAATTAGATATATTCTACTAATGACTGCTAGACTTAAAATTCAGATTCAGGAATTTCCCCTTGAAGTGTCAAAGCTTGAATTTCCCACTTAAATATACATGCAGGTGTATCACAGTTGCCACTACTTTTTTTTTTTTTTTTCCAGTTGAAAATGGCACTTAAAATCTTCTCTGTCAAGTTTGTTGCTGTTCCTTATTCTTTATCTCAGAAAAATGATTGGCACCTCTATCCACCCAGGTGCCACAGCCAGGAACCTGGGCACCTTCACCTCCCACATGCCTTCAATCCTAAATCTTCCCAATTCTATTTTCTCTCTGTCTGTTCACATCTATCTATTCCCTCTGCTAAATCATCATCATCATTCATCCAGATTCCTGTCACAGCCTAAAAATTGCCCAGCCTCCAAACCTGACCCCTCCCCTCCAATCTATTCTCCACACTGCAACCAGAATAATTATTCTGAAAGACAGATCTGATTATAATCTTTTCTGCTTGAAATGTATTCCCATTATTCTGAGAAAAAGGTCCAAATTTCTGAACATTTTGCAAGGCCCTGCAAAATCTATTCACTGATTACCTCTTCAGCTGCTTGTTTCAATATTCCCTGACTCGCATTCCATGCTGCAGCCATAATTTACTAGGCACCTCTGAATCTGAATCTTAGAGATTCTATTCTCTCCTCCTAGAACATCGTCATAATTTTGCTCCAGCTAATTTTTCCTTTAGCTTATATGTAACTTTCCCCAAAAACTTTTTCTTGACTGTCCTTCCCTTGAACCACCATCACCTCATCTGGATCAGTATCCTCACAAGATCCTGTAACATCCTGTACTCATTACCACTCTCACTATGTAGTGTAACTGCCTGCTTTTCAGTTATACCTACTAAGCCTCAAAGTATAAGTAATGCTCAGCTCCTGTTCACCACTGAAATCCAACAACTACCATAATGGCTGACATATAGGAAGTATTCAATAAATATTTAGTACACCAATTGCTGGGTTTACTACCTTCTCATTTCAAGATAGTACAGGGATCCAGACCATGGCTCTGGAGTCAGAGAGACATGGGTTCAAATCCTGGCTCTGATACTTCCTACCTAATATCCTGAGCACCATTTTGGACCTCTGGTTTTTCATCTATAAAATAAGGATAGTAACAGTATCTGCTTTTTAGGGTCACTGTGAAGAATAAATGAGACAAGTTCAATAAGACAGAAAATAACAAATGTTGGCGAGGATTCAGAGAGATTGGGACTCTCATACACTGCTGGTGGGATTGTAAATGATACAACCACCATGGAAAACAGTATGGCGAGTCCTTAAAAAGCAGGAATTAGAAATACCATTTGACCCAGCAATCCCACTACTAGACATATATCCTAAAGAAGTGAGAGCTAGGACACAAACAGATACATGCACATCCATGTTACAGCAGCACTATTTACAATAGCAAAAAGATGGAAACAACCTATGTGCCCATCAACTGAAGAATGGATAACCAAGCTACGGTACTTAAACACAATGAAACACTATGCAACACTAAAGAATAATGTAGAATCCGCAAAATGCTACATAACATGGATGAACTTGGAGGCCATTATGCTGAGTGAAATAAGTCAGTCACAGAAGGACAAATATAACATTAGTTCATTATTGTAATAAGTCAAGGAAAGGTTTATATATGGAAGGATACATTCTTTGTTGGTTACCAAGGGTAGGAGGGGAGGGAACACTGAAAAAAAAAAAAGCACTGACACATGTCACTTTAGTTTTGTGTATTTCACTGTACATAAACTGTATTTCAATAAAATGCATTAAAAAAAAATTATTACAATTTAGGAGAAAATTTACAAACCACTCCAGGTTCTCATTTAATAATTTCTATACATATTATTCGCTGGCGGTTCAAACCCACCAGCCACTCCTCAGAAGGAAGATGGGGCAATCGTCTTCCATAGTGATGCTGCCTTGGAAACCCAAGGAGGGGTCGCTGTGAGTCGGGTCCGACTCGAGGGCACATAACACCACCACCACCATACATATTATTCAGTGATAGTGGTGACACTTTTCACAATGTGTCAGTATTCTCATTTCAATTCTGGTTGTTCCATTTCTAGCTTCCTTGTCTCCTCTTATTGTCCCATCTTTGGTCCAGGGTAAATATTGACCATTAGGTGTCATTTAAATGATTGTTTCATGGAGCACAGTACTTATGAGTGATATTACTTATATTATGAGCCACTATGTCTTTTAGCTGATAGGTGACCTCTGGGAGTAGTCTGAATTCCAAGTTTAAAGGGTATCCCTCTACAAGTCCAATAACTCTGGCTTTTTTAGGAATTTGAGTTTTTTTCCCCATTCTATCCAAGGCTGTCTATTGTATCCCTACTTGGAATGGCTGGCAGTGGTAGCCTGGCAATTATCTAGTTCTTCTGGTCTCAAGGTAGGAGGTGATTGTTCATGTAGACTTATTAGTCCTATAGACTAGATTCTTCTTTGAGTCTTTGGTTTCTTTCTTCCTTTTTGCTCCAGATGTGTAGAGACCAATAGTTGTATCTTAGATGGATACTCACAAGCTTTAAAGACCCAGATGCTACTCACTAAACTAGGTTGTAGAACATTACTTTTATGAGAAAGTTATGCCAATTGACCAGTTTGGTCCTCAAGACTCTGGTCCTAAGCTCTCAAACCCAGTAATCTAATCCCACAAAGTATTTGGTTAACCTAAAAAATATTCATAACTGTGCATCATATGTGCTTTATTTTATATATGATATATATGCAGCATACACAAACATGTATATTCACTTGCCTATAGAAACATGCATACATGCTCACCTGTATATTCATACATACTTACCTATACATACATACATAAATATAAGGAGCTGTAGTGGTGTAGTGGGTAAGACATTTGCCTGCTAACCAGAAGGTCAGCAGTTTAAACCCACCAGCCACTCCATGAAGGAAGATGGGGTGATCTACTTCTGTAAAGATTTACAGCCTCGGAAGAGTAATGGGGGTCGCTAAGGG